ACACAAGTTGTGGCAACAATCCTGCACCCGGCATTTCGACTCCAAATTCTTCGAAAAGTTTTTTGGGCAAGGACATCGTCAACGTACATCCAAGCCGAATCGGACTTTCAACCGATTGTTCAAAGATTATCAGTTGCGATCAACACAAAAGAAACCAACACATTCAACTTCAGAATCAGGTACGGCCTCAAAACCCTCCTCGTCTGCAGCGATCTTCGACCTGTATAGCGATGATGAGGAATATCAGGAGGATTTGGGCGACGACTCACAGGTCAAGGACTATTTCCGATCTGTTCTTCGCATGCAACAGCCAGAATATGACCTGGGAAATCCAGACGAATCTCTTCGCTGGTGGTCGGTCAGTATTCTTACTCGTGTCATTGTTGAAGAAAATGAATGCTTCTTCTTATTTCTCTCTTTATGTCTCTTTATGCTCTTTTAGGTGAACCATGGACGGTTTCCGATCATAGCCATAATGGCTAAAGATTACCTTGCATCTTCAGGCTCATCGGCTGGACCCGAGCGCACCTTCTCGGCAGCCGCAGACATTTGTTCTGCAAACCGAGGCGGTCTTACTCCAATCAGCATTGAGCGGGCTGTCTCAACCCATATGTGGCTGGTTGAGATGGTTCCACTTGGTGATGAGTTCAACAAGGTTGTTGAGTGCATCAGAGTCAAGGATTTCATGTGACTTCGAAGGTTTTAGGATTTTTTTTACTTTTGCGCTTATTTCTTTTCATCTTTGTTTATTCAACTTATCTACAAATTCATTTACTTGGTGGTAATAATGTAAATGACAGCTTTTGGGCTTTTGCTTGTTTTGTGGGAGTCTGGTTAGCCTGGTTAACGCGCTAAGTAGCGTTAACGTAACTGGTAAAGCTAAGCTATCGCTTTGAGATAGCAGTGAAAGTCACATAAAGCTACGTTATCTGGAATAGCGTAGCTTGTAGAGTTACGCTAGGCGCCATGTAAATTTTCCGTTATAGGATAAAGCTACCCTACGCGTTACTTGCCCCGTAGCGCAGAGTTGCGCTGCTGGCTCAGCGTTGTTGGGAACACCAAGGGTTTTTTTGATGATTTCATGGACATACTCACAACATGAGTATTTTTTGAGCCAATCCTTCTGCCTTTTTTGTCATTGTACATTAATCACCCTTTGTTAGCTAACTTAGCTAAGTTCCACAGTCAGATACTTAATCCTCGCATGAGCAGAGATGTATGGGCTGATTAGATAGCAAACATTCTTGTTATAAAAATAAGTCGAATCTTGACCAACATGACTTCAATTTTCAATTCACGGTGATTCAATTCATGGTTTGTGTTGAATCATTAATCATCTCCTAACAAGATGATCTCGACAGTGCATTATTTTTTATCTTTGAGATTTAGG